AAAACTATGACGATTGGTAAATGAGAATATCCTGATTACTTGAATATATTCTGACTGGTTAACTAGTTGACATTGTAGCTAACACCATGTATTATTCTGTAGTGCCATCAGTACAAAAGATACAGGATATTGGGAATCTGCCAAATTCTTGAAGATTTTGCTTTCTTGATTGTATAATAATTGGCTATAGCATTATGGAATGTTCTTTAAGTGAAATGGTATTAATCTATGGTTTTGTAAAATGAATATATAACTCATATTAATATGTTACTGAATGCTAACTTTTCACATAAGGAGATAATGTTCTTTTCTCTTTGGAGAAGACAGACCAATCAACCATCACCTTGATCAATTTGTGTCAGAAAATGATATGTACTTTGATTTGTAATCTTTAAACTACTGTGTGTGTGTGTGTGTGTGTGTGTCTTACATGCCCAGAGTGAAAAGTGCATAAATACTTTTATTATTTATTTTCCTTGATTGGAGTTCAACAAATATTTAAGATACCACATCAGATAATGGACTGAGGGAAGGGTATACAAAATAAATGATATATTTACTTTCAGAAAGAAGCCTACGTTTAGGGAAGAGAAGTAGCTATAATACAGTAAAAAATGAGATAGATGTCATTTGAGAGGCATAGAGTTCTGTTTTTTAGTTTATATTCTTTAATGAACTGCAACCTATAATTTCAAAAGATAATAAAATTATGTGTTTCATATGGTTTCATGGGACTGTGAAGGTGGTTTTTTAGCCAATTCAACTTTTACTACAGCCTGTAGTGCATTAACAATAAAGGAGTTTTTTTTTAATGCTGGAGGGAGGTTTAGTAGAAAAGTAAATATAATTAAAATATAATTTAAGCATTATAGAATTGTAATTATAAATAATAATATTTTAACACTGCATTCTTTTGTAGGTCTTTGATGATGGTAGATATGTTTACCTTGTTACGGATTTAATGAAAGGAGGAGAGTTACTTGATCGTATTCTCAAACAAAAATGTTTCTCAGAACGGGAGGCTAGTGATATACTGTATGTAATAAGTAAGACAGTTGACTATCTTCATTGTCAAGGAGTAAGTTGTAATTAAATTTTTTCTTTCTATTCTGGGACCTATATCTTCATAAAAATATAGGAGATGATGTACCTAAGATAAATTGCTTTTATTCATATATATTTTAATAGAGAATATCCTAATAGAACTCACAAATGTAGTGAAAATTATGGATTTAGGAAATGATTATTTTCTGTCTGCCCGTTGGGCCTGATTTAATAGCATATTCATTTTAAAAGTGGTTTGAATTATATAAATGTACCTAACTTTGACTTTGAAATTATGAAACTTGTTTAGACTTAAAAGTTAAGCATAAAAGGATTAACCAAAGACATATGATGACTATTATTCAAGTTACCTAATATATAAAGTTCAAGTTATCTAACATATATATTGAACCTTGCCAGCTCCTCCCCTAAATACAGTACGAAATGTGTATTCTAAACATTTGAAATATTACTATATTAAATTTTGTGGTTAAGGGAAAGACTTATTATTTTGCTTCCTGTCCTTTCATAAAGAAGACAAATGAACTGAGTTACAGAAAAGGCAGCTTTTAGTATATATAGCTACATAAAGAAACAAAATAGCAAGTAATTCAAAAATTTAAATTTGAATCAATTGTAATATTGGATATATACCAACTTAATAAGCAAATTAAAAATGACAATTTAGAATTGACACAATAAAAACTCTACATGAGCCCCTCTTATAATAAATAAAAAATAAACTAGTACTCAGTTATGTGTGTGGTTTAATAAAGTGGATTGTCAGTACTTTGAAATATATAATGCTAAAGCAGTATCTTTTTAATAATTTAATTCTTTGATTGTCTTTACCAACACCCAATACTCTATAAAGTAAAGCATGACAAAAATTTTTGAGAAAAGAATCATAGGCATCTCTTCTTTATTATTTATAAACCTTCACATCAATTAACTAAATTAATAAGACACATATTGAGAATTTCTACATGCCAGGCATTGTAAAAGGTGGTGTAGATTCAAACATGAGTGAGACCTGATTCCCGTCCTTAAAGAGCTTTAGCATAGTCAACTCTGACTAAAAGTGAGGGTAACTTACATGAAGTAGATAGTACTAGCAGGCAACATATCACTTGGGGGAACTTTAGCATTTTTTCCAGTTATGTATTTTATTTGGTTCTTCTTTATTGTTTCTGTTTTTCTGCTAGACTTCCCTTTTTTTTTCCTGAGAATTTAATGCATTTAAAGCATGTTCTGTTTTACTTTATTGAGGATCATTATGATAGTCACTTTAAAATCCTTATCTGTTAGTTTTAGTTTGGTTCATCTTGGAATCAGAATTTATTGATTTTCTTAAGACTGTGTTCCATTTTCTTGGTTCTTTGTATATCAAATAATGCTGAATTACGTCCTAAGCATTATGATAATCAGTTATAGAGATTTTTGTATTCCATTATTTTTCTCCAATGGTTATTATTGTTTCATTTGTTTTAAGTGGTCAATTTTCTTGGCTGGGCTTGAACTGAAAACTAGTTTTGGGGGCAGCAGCTCTGGTTTTTGTTCATATTATTTGACTTTATACAAACTGTTTTGATCCTGTTCCACATATTTTGATTCAAGGGTCAGTTCCGGCTCTTTCCTTTATAATATTCCTCTACTCAGCATTCAGTTTTCCAGCATCTCCTATCTAGTCCTCTAAGCCAGAAGGACTGGGTTTTTCCACATGTCTTTACCACCACTGTGTGCCATAGGCACTGTACTTAACCCCAGGCTAAAAGCCACAGATATGGAAACCTCCTTGTATAGTGTCCTGTGTTTCCTCCTTTAACAAAGTATATACTCCTTATCAGAGTATATCTGCTTCTGTTCATTCTCCAGCACCTTCATATAGTTGATTTTTGTATTATATCCAGGTTTTATGTTTGTTTACTATAAGAAGGTGGGTGTTGAGTAGGGCCTTAGTCCATTATGGACTCAGTCCAAACTTAGTTTAGTTTGTAAGTCAGGAGCTGTTCTTATATGTCATGTGTAATGCTAAGTGATATAAATTATTGCATATCCAAAATTGGATCTGAGAATTGAGCCTAGATATATTGAGATTAGAAAAGGTTAACAAAAAACTGGTGGCTTGAATAGAAACTGGAGCATCTATCTGACAGAGATACTTTCTTATGTATATTTTAGGCTCTTAAGCTTAAGCAAAATTTCATTTTTAAAATTTTGTAATTTGGAAAGTTTCTTTTTCTGGAAATATAATGAAATGTTTTATTTCTCAGATATTTAGTTTACTATATAGATATAATGCTTTTTTCCTTTATATTCAAGGTTGTTCATCGTGATCTTAAACCTAGTAATATTTTATATATGGATGAATCAGCCAGTGCAGATTCAATCAGGATATGTGATTTTGGGTTTGCAAAACAACTTCGAGGAGAAAATGGACTTCTCTTAACTCCATGCTACACTGCAAACTTTGTTGCACCTGAGGTATTCCTTAAAAACTTCAGCATTTGCCTTTCATTCTTTTCCTTTAGTTGAATCTATATGATACCATGTGTATGTTATGGTAGACAGATAAAAGCTATTATCTTGTCCTTTTTCAGTTATAAAGTTCTTTAAATCAGTGAATTCTCATAGCCCCTAATATAAATATTCACACTGGTAACTAGCATCTAAAGCCAACCAGAATGTAATAATCAGGCTATTCTATTCTGTTGGGTTATATACTAATTTCAGAATCATACCATTTTAGAGTTGGGAGGTATGGTAAAGATATTTACCATATTATGTATTCTAAGTGAGGAAACTGTGGCTCGAGGTACTTCAATGATTTATTCAAGACCCAGCATTCACTTAATAACAAAGATAGGATAGATTCATCCGGTATGTTAAATTGTACTGAATATTAGGTAATTTATATCGATGAGCATTATAAATAACATATAATGTCAGTGCCATCCTCGATTGTCTTTAGGAACTTATAACTCCCAGAGAAAATAGGCTTACAGGGGTTTTTGTAAGCCATAGGGATTTTTCTTGGAAAATAATATTTATACCTAAATCATAGGGTTAAGTGTCAAGAAAGGTGATGCTCTTAGGGAGAAGAGTCAGGAAAGGGGAGGCTCTGGTACAGATTTCACATTTGGGAAACTGTAACTTTCATTCTAACCATGGGGATGGGAGCTTTGACAGTGGCAATTTCCATAGCAGTGAAAGTGAAATTGGTGAAAAATGAATCAAGAGATGGCATTGACCATGTAAGTTCTTTATGGGCTTTCTTTGTTAAGTCAGTAACTGTTCTTATATGTTATGGATAATGCTAACTGACATGTTATTGCATATTCAACAAAAATCAAAATACCTGAAACTCCTCAGATTTGAAAAACCTATGTCAAATCAAAGGAGAAGCAGAGTAAAATAATTTGAGAAGAATTCCTATCTTCTATATATTTTATGATTTTACTCATATCAAATGTTAGCTTTTTCAGGGAAATATTGCACATCATATATATTAATAATAAATCATTTGTACTTTAATATAAATCAATCTATATTTTAAAGCAGCTACTATAAAAATAACTTTCCTAATAATGAAAATAGAAATATAGAAAATACTATACTGATATTGAAGAACAGGCAGAACTTCTGTTTTATAGGCTTTATATGATAAGATATTTGCCTAAAAAGAAATTATGTATATATCCAGATAATGTTATTTAATCTGTATTTTAATAAAATTCATAGAATAATATACAAGTTTTTATCTGTTACAAGAAATTGTACTGCCCTAAGATGTATGAGATAATAGCCTGGACATAAAAAAAATACTAGCCTTTTTTAGGATATTGCAGTAGGTGTTTCTTTGGTTTTGTTTTGTTTTGTTTTGAGAAACAAGTATTTTTATTTTTAAATTATCAAGTGCATTCACAAGACAGAAGAAAGTATCTTGTACAAGAGTGACTCAAGCTGGCTGGGCCCAGCTGTACCTGACATACAACTTACGCATCCAGAGCAATGAAAACTCAGTACCATCAGAACAGACTTTTGGGCTGACGGCTGCAGGCTTCAGCAGTTATCAATGCCACTTCAGTAGTTTTATAGGATAAGAGGACAGAATATTTGAGATAGTGCTCTTCTGTTATGTATAGCATATATAATCATCATAGAGATCATCATAAATATTGTAATAGATTTGTGCAGTAGACAAAAGAGCAGAGTATAAAATCAGCATTTTAATAGTCAAATTTTTAATATTGACTTAATCTTGTAGACCTAAACTGCTTAGTATTATGGAAACTTCTCACTGGAAAAAAGTTAGAACTGAATATGTCCCACATGAACTTCTCAAAAACAGACATTAAAGTGAAAAATATATAACATGTCTGTGTTTAGGTTAATGGTTAGGTAAACAGTTTTAAATTAATGGTTAGGTAAGCAATCCCAGAAAGTAGAATACAGCCCATTGATGTTTTTTTTCCCAAACAGCTGTACACTGTAGTAAGACACTTTTACTATTGTAATAGTGAAGGTTTTCAGGTGGGCATGTGGAGACCACTTCTCTGTAACTAGTGCTTAAACTGTCTTTGACTAATATTTGTATTTTCAAAATACTTGGAAAGTTTTATTTTTGAGTGATAAAGCCTATTCTAGAAATCAATAATTTATTTGTAAATTGTCATTAATGAACCAGAGAGTACTTTTAGGGAGGTTTGTTTCTAAAATTTCAAAAAGTATTAGTAAAATATAAAAATGCATTCTTTTTTAAACTAGAATTGGAAAGATTCAAGTATTGGTGCAGGCCTTTCAGTAAAAAATGGCATTTTGTGGAGTATACATTCACTATTTCACAGTGCATAAAGAGTTCTTTTTTGCTAAGAACTACACTGATTATTGCAATTTTAGCTTAACAATAAGGAAAGAATATTCTTTTAGTTTTTAAAGTATGCATCAGTTTGATCAACCTCTTAGCATTTATTAGGTAGATGTGCTTTTCTATTATACCTATGCTGCAAAAGTGAATATATCTCTAAAATATTTTATTCTTTGTTAATGGCAATTCCACTCTGTTGTATTTTTCAACTAATATTATAAGCCTATTGAGGTTAAAGAATGTTCCTGAATTAATGGAGCTTACAAAAAAGTTGAGGGATATTGTGTCTGCAGCTTTTTATAAACTAATTTTGAAGTTAACTCTGCTCTGCTCTTTCTCTGGGCTGTCATATGGTTTGCCCCAAATGTTAACTGATTTGAGCAACAGGAATGAGGAGCTCTGTGTATGTTACTTTCTGCTGATTTGGGAAGCCAAATGAGACAGAGAGTTACGGCATTGATTATTTTAATTGTGACTTCTATCTTTGTATTTGATGCAAGTAAAAAGGTGTGAAACACACCCTCTGTACTTTCATTCATTCTACCATTCTGCATTGTTTCTTTTACGATTATATGCTCACTTTTATAAGGGCATTAAGACTAACTCTAGGAAAAAAAAAAGTGGACTGTTTCTTCTTTATCTAAAACAGGCTTTTCATGTGTGGCCCTAATTAAGCAATGTGACGACACCTGCGTAAGTGTATCCTCATAACTAGGAAGGTTGTAGGCGTATATGTACCTATAGCTGACTTGCTGATTAACTCTCACCTGTCCAACTCATTTCTAAGCAATGGCCCTCAACCTTAGCTATACATTGAATCATTTGGGAAGCTTTAAAAAGCTTCATAAGGGAATCAGGGAAAATATGATGATACCTGGAACTGTAAGATGTGATGAGAAAAATAAAGAGATAAGGGAATAAAATCAGTAGAAGAGTATGCCAACTTAATGTTTACAATGATGTGAGTGGTTTAGCTATATGTTGTTATTTGTTAAGTATTTTATAGTTCCCTACTTGTATTATTTCCTTAAAACAATTATGTATTTTGATATGCTCTTTACTCTCTTAGTTTTGTACATATGTGTATTTTTATAAATACACTAAGACTAGGAAAAAAACACATTTCAAATTTTAAGTTAGTTACATACTCATTATTCATGTTTGGCAGTTGTCAAAGCCAAACACTAATATTTTTAGCCTTTTATAGATGAGAAGTTCATGCTTGTGGTTATGTAATACCCTGCCTTAATGCATTAATAACGTTTCTATTTTATTCCTATGCCTAGGGGCTTTAGCAGTGGGCTTGTTTTTCTGAATTAAAAGAAAATGGCCTTGTTTCATCTCTTTATTTTTCTAATGAACTCTATTAACTTTGTAGCTAAATCTCACATGAATATGTAACAAACATTTTTGATTTGTATTAACACTGACCCCAAAAACCAGCTTCCTAAATTGTTGTGTGAAAAATTAATGAAGCATTCAGCATATATTAAATGTGTACTTGTGGTCTAGAAGTATACTGCTCTTTTCAAGGCATTGGCCTTGTATGGTAAAATATAAATTCATTCCGCTTTTGTGAGATCATATATTATCTTGCCATATCTTATATAGTAAAGAGGCAGTTATAGATATTAAAAGCAGGCTCTACTAATATTTCCTGTTCTACTACTTATTAGTTTTGTAATGTGGGGTAAGTTACTTAATATTCATTTTAGTTTCCTCATCTTCAAAATTGGAATATTATTTACCTTATAGAATCAGTGACATAATTAAAAGCCTCAGTACTGTGTATAGTATACATTAAAATCTCTGTGCATACTAATCTTAAGTTTAGATTTCTCTATATTTGGTTTCCTAAGAGGAGGAGAGAAAGCTCATTGAGGTGTTAGGGATTATGTCTTTACTACAAGTGCATGAAATGTTTGAAGTTTTTATATTATGAACTTTTATGAGATTATTAGAAGTAAAACAAATTATTTGGGAGAAAATTTGGTTTATATCTAGTAACACCATATAATGAATATTTCTTTCTTAGGTTCTTATGCAACAGGGATATGATGCTGCTTGTGATATTTGGAGTTTAGGAGTCCTTTTTTACACAATGTTGGCTGGGTAAGAAACTTATATATTCAAAAGCATTAGTGTTGTTCTTTGAATTTCATCTGTATATCTTCATCTAGAAATGGAATAGATAAAAATGTCTTTAAGAAAAATGCCATTTACATTTCAAAATATTAATGCTGTTACTTATAAAATTAAAAAAAACATAAAGCAAGGTGTATAATGAAGCACAGTTAAGATATAATAATTTTAAAAGGCAGTTGTCAACCAGAACTAAAACTTTTAGAAATAAATTGCATTTCTCTTTTGACCTTGAAACTATTTAATCATAAAATAATTGCATGTTCACCAACAACTTGCCCACTGAACTTGTTGACATTGAGTTGATTTTTTAAAAATTTATTTATTATACTTTAAGTTCTGGGGTACATGTGTGGATCCTGAAGGTTTGTTAGATAGGTATACATGTGCCAAGGTGGTGGTTTGCTGCATGGCATGTGTATACCCATGTAACATAACTATTTTGGCACTAGAGATTTAGTAAGATTGTGCAAATCTAAATAGTAACAATACTAAACTGCAGAAACACACACAGCTACCGTCCTTTGAAAGGATAAAGAAAAGCTCAAAACAAATGTAAAACAATTGGACTATGTTAATGTTGATACTTTACAAATAATAAAAGTACTATTTTACTCTTAATATTGAGTAGTACTTTTATTTAGAAGTGAACACTTATGGCTGTAGAAATTGTTCTAAGAGAGTTGTGATAGAGAAAATGGCGAAGTTTAGAAAGTAATTATAGTGTACTTAGACATACTATTTTAAAGAGTACATTTAGTATAACTTAAATATGCTTGATATACCAAGAGCTCTGTAAATGTGTGATAAAAATGTTGACTCTAAATTGTTTAATGGCTTGATGATAATTACATATGTCAGTGTATTTCATATACTTTTAGATATTACAAATTTATGCAAAATATTATAGAGCACAGTAAAGACTGAAGTTAAGGTAGCTAAAGTTTGCATATTAAATGCAATTAATCTGTATGATTGATCTACCTAATAAATGTAATGACTATGGAGTTTTATGTTGATATAAATATTTAACCAAGTTTCATAAATATTAATAAATGTATTGATAACCATTTCCACTGATACTAATGATGAAATGTTAATGAATAAATCAAAACAAGGCAATAAATGCATTATGAATATATGAAATTAACATTTTCTTCATATTAGGTGTATTTGTTTGCTAACCTATACCTGGAATAATAGAAAACATGTATTTTTTAGTGTTATCTAGTTTTAAGACTGAAGCTTTGTATGAAAAGACACCTTTATTTTATTTTACATTGATTAGCTGATCAAAGATGAAAAACTATTGATGTAGGCAAGATTCTCTGTTTTATTAAAGAATTTATTAGGGTTAAATATATGCTTTGAAATATAAAATTTGACATTAACAGCGAAAGCAAATGCAAGATGATAGTCTTACTCGCTGAAGTCAATATTTGCATGTAGTAAATATTTGTATCTCTTTCATTATTGGATATGTTAGCCTGTAGTGTCTATTAAAATCTATTTTATTAATAGCTACACTCCATTTGCTAATGGCCCCAATGATACTCCTGAAGAGATATTGCTGCGTATAGGCAATGGAAAGTTCTCTTTGAGTGGTGGAAACTGGGACAATATTTCAGACGGAGCAAAGGTATAAATTATAATATGTTTTGTTTTGTTGCATTCATATTAAATTGCTAAAATCCTTAAGTTATAGCTTAGTGTTTATTTGCAGAGTATCTAATGGTGTCATATGTAATCTATGAGTGAATTGAACAAGGTACAAAAGATAACTTTTGATTTTGTTATGTTTCTGGGCCACCCTTCTTTCTGATCAATTTATGTATGTGCAGGGAATAGTTTCTGTATTAACCAAAACCAAAAATTTAAATTTGGGGAACAGTATATATTTAAAGCCAATTAAAGTTTATTTCTAGATTTACCATATATGTCCATCTCATTTTCTTTTAGCACATAAATTGACTTGATTATGTAGGCAATTTTTCTAATGCTAACTTATTCTTAGAGAATGAATGTACTATGTATCTGTAGCACCTGGATATTCATTACTGATGGCTTAGAATGGTCTAACAGAAATATGATGCAATGCAAATACATATTTTAAAATTTCTAGTAGCCACATTAAAATGTTTTTAAGTAAAATTAAATTTAATATATGTCATTTAATCTGATATACCAAAATATTACTTCAACAACTAATCAATATAAAATATTAGATATTCTATATTTTTTCATATTGAGTCTTCAAAATGTAGGGTGTATTTTATACTTATAGACATGTGAATATGAACTTAATAGCCACATGTGTCTAGTAGCTGCCATATTAGTGATGTTTCAGCATAATTGGCCTTATTTATTTTGGGAAAGAAATAGTTGATCCAGGCTTGAAAACTCATTTCTTACATTTAAGATTTTTAAATTTTAAGTTTTAAAATGAAAACTCAACACTTGTCACCATGTGGCTTATAGATCCCTAAAGTTTTTACGCTACCATTTGAAATAGAACATATTTTATGACAAAAGTAATTGCTTATAGTTAATATATGCTAATTATGTCAAGAGTACTAGCCAATTTGTACCAGTTTGTAGAATACATTGCAAAGTAAGTCCAGCATCCTGATCATTGTCAGAATAACTAAACCAGGTATTTGTCATTAACTTTTAAACATTAGAAAAATAGACAAGGGATTGTGTTGGGATATTAACCTTAGTACGAATATGCTTTGTGGTGTAGTAGAAGGAACATTATGCTAGATGATACAGGAAATGCAAAAATAAATATGACATTTAAGGCTCCCTAAGTGTGAAGAACAAAAATGTACCCACGTGAATATATGACTAGGCAGAATGTGATAAGTGCTCTAATAAAGTACATACAAAATAGTAATGGGAGCACAGTAGAGGAAAAGTAGAAGAAACAACAGGTGCTGGTGAGGCTGTGGAGAAATAGGAATGCTTTTAAACTGTTGAAGGGAATGTAAACTAGTTAAAACATTGTAAAAAACAGTGTGGTGATTCCTCAAGGATCTAGAACCAGAAATACCAAGTCTCCAACTGATTGGGGTACCAGAAAGAGATGGGGAGAATGAACCGAGATGAGGAGAATGAACCGAGTTGGAAAACACACTTTAGGATGTTATCCAGTAGAATTTGTCCATCCTAGCAAGAAACACCAACATTCAAATTTAGGAGATACAGAGAACCCAAGTAATATACTCCACTGGAAGATCAACCACAAGCCACATACCATCTGATTCTCTGAGGTTGAAATGAAAGATAAAATGTTAAGGGTACCCAGAGAGACAAGGCCAGGTCACCTACAGAAGAAAACTCATCAGACTAACAGAAGACCTCTCCATGGAAACCCTACAAGCCAAAAGAGCTTGAGCCCTAATATTTAACATTCTTTAAAAAAAAGAATTTCCAACCCAGAATTTCACAAGCAAACAAGAAATAAGGTCTCTTTCAAATGAGTAAAATAATTCATCACCACCAGGCCTTCCTTGCAAGAGCCCCTGAAGGAAGCACTAAATATGGAAAGGAAAAACCGGTACCAGCCACTACAAAAACACATTTAAATACAAAGAGCAGTTGCACTATGAATCAACCACATAAACAATATGCCAGATAACCAACTAGCATCATAATGACAAGATCAAATTTACACATAACAATATTAAACTTAAATGTAAATAGAATAAATTCCTCAACTAAATGACACAGAATGGGAAGCTGGATAGTCGAGACCCATTGGCCTGCAGGCTTTAAAAGACCCATCTCATCTGCAAAGACACACATAGACTCAAAAGGATGGAGGAAAACAGAAAACAGAAAAAAATCAGGGGTTGCAATCCTCGTTTCTGACAAATACATGTAACAAAACAAAACCGAAAACCAAAAACAAAGATAAAAGGCAAAGAAGGGCATTACAAAATTGATAAGGATTTAATTCAACAAGGAGAGCTAACTATCCTACGTATATATGCACCCAATACAGAAGCATCCAGAGTCATAAAGCAAGTTATTAGAGACCTTCAAAAAGACTTAGACTCCCACACAATAATAGTGGGAGACTTTAATACCCCTGTGATATATTACACAAATTATCAAGGCAGTTAACAGAAATATTTAGGACTTGAACTCAGCCCTGTATCAAGTAGACCTGATAGGTATCTTTGGAACTCTTCTCCAAAAAACAACAGAATATGCATTCTTTTTATTGCCGCTTGGCCTTTACTTTAAAATTGATCACACAGTTGGAAGTAAGCACTC